TCTTGCCTTTGATTCTAAAAAAAATTACAACTACAGATAAAGATTGTGCAAAGGAGAAAAAATGAGTGGTGACGCAGCATTGAAGGAAAATTAGTAAAAATAACTAATTTGATACTTTAAATCAGTGAATGCAAAAAGGCTAAGAAAGGCGAAGTGGTTAATAATTGCAAGAAAAAAGCTTTCTCCAACCTTTCATCGCAATCTTGAAGTAATGAATGTAGGAACTAAGTAGGGCGCTGCGACCATGCATGTCCAGACAAGAGTCTAGTAACATAGTACAAATCTTCACCAACTGACCGATCGTTTCGAAACACGCAGACGAAAGAGCCTCTGAAAATTACAAAACGATTATTATCAATATAAATAACTAAGAACGGGATGATTTTTGGTAGATTTGAATAGAGAATATGCTCCCATGAGTTTCAGCAGCCTACTTTATAAGTTAACATAACCCACAAAAACAAGTTAATTTACTTCAACTCTGATATGAAGCAGATAGATATATTGACCTGTATATGGACGATTAGCGATGAGGGCAATGAGCTTGTCCAACACATTGTACAGATAAGCCACCATCGGTTCTGGCCTAGCTTTCGTAACACCCTGCAATAGATTTTTTAAAGTTTTCCTCTCGGAACAAGCTAATGTATGTGAAGATGTGAAGAGGGAGTGAACCTAACTCACAGACAATAAAACCTAGAATCAAAATATGAAGAAAAATGGAATGAAGAAGAGATAAAACCCTTGTATGAATGACAGCAAAAAAAAATAACAACTGTACAAATATAGAGTATACCAACCTGTGCAGCACTGATCAAAGCGCTTTCACCTATGGGTGGTTTTTTCCTATCAGTCGAACTCAGCGAATTTACACCAATAAAAAACCTCTCCAAATGTTCGTCCTATAATCGATTTATAAATTCAACAGGCACGGGATGTAAGCTCTTTTTTACCTGCGGATGGACTGTGCTGATGGCTGTTATTGCGAGATTGAATGTTGGTTTGTGCGCATCAAGCCATCGCACATTAGGTAGAGCAACGTCTGGAGAGAGATATCCATAACTGGATGGAAGGCGATCGAGACATATAGGCAGGTGGAAATCACCAGTAGATAAACGACCGTCACGAAAAAGAGGTAGCCACTGGAAAGAAGAGATAAGATTTACTGGATGAAAACAGCTTAGACTAAACCTACACTATATCCTATTGGATACTCCACTTCTTCATCTTTGTTGTTCGGCTTACAAGATATATGATAAAAACTAAATAACAAGTGATGACCATCGTCCAAGTCTATAGGAATACGAAGTTTGATTTCATCAGCTATATGAGGTGTCCTAGAAAGAAAACATTTTTTGGAATATCAAACTATGTAATGAATATTTCCCGACTCTCACTTGTTATGATACACTACAGCCGTTCTGATCTGTGATACCATTTCACATCCCGGGCCTCGAGAAAA